GGGGGGGTGTACGGGGGCAACTGGTGCGGCCGTTAACGTACCTGGGGGTGGTGATAACCGTCAATGCCTGCCAGCAGGTTAGGGAAGGTAACTTCCTCAAAACCGAGCTTCCTGACTCTTTTATTTCCCCCTTTCTACCTCAGGAATGGAGTTCAGCATGAAGTAATTCTGTACTTGCTGCCTGCACAGTGGCAGTGTAGGAGATGTGTTTTCTTGGAGGTGTTAGGATTTTTTTGAGCGTTCTCATGTTCCATGTCTTCAAAGAAACCCGTATCGGGGGGGATCGCTGTTTTTTACACCCATGATTTTGTGTCAGATTTGGGGAGTACATGAATACAAAGGTGACTCTTCTAACTGCCGCTTAGGTAATACCAATTTGAGGTCTGAATATTAAAATGTTCCTCTTCTGATTCACGTTTTACTACCTGTGATGATCCCGTGAGCTGGAGTTTACCCAAGGCTGTGCCGGTGCCACTCCATGGGCAAACTAAGCTCCTTCTCCATGAATGAAATGGGCAATGATTTTGGAAGTTAAGCCTCAATGTCTGTCTTGCAAACTTTTCTGTGTGGACAGACCCTTCTGCCCGTTAAATTTCTATGGAGCCTATGAGTGCTCTGTACTTGAGTGATAATTGGCAGGTATAAAGCATCCTGAGAGGTTGCCATAAATCTGGTTTAGCAAGGTGACAAGATAGAACAGAATCAGACTTGCAGTTCTGAACCTCCATCCGTGCCCTGCTGCCCGAGATAACGTGATGTAACACTGAAAAATTGTTAAAGATAATAAAATAAGCAGGTTTGGTACTACATATGGAGGAGGTTGACAGAAGGATTTGTGTTTTTTCCCAAACCCTGTAGTGTCATGAAGATAATTTCAGAAATCAGCCCTTCTAAAAAATAATCTTTGTAACTTTTTCTTTCTGTTGTCAATTTTCTGCACAGAACTGTGTGGAAAGTGAGTTCAGGCCACATGTGAGCTGTTGTGCTATACTTTCATACTTTTCAACTGTTTGTATTGCAAAGAAAAGTATCTCCCAGACTTCTGTGTGGCCATAATTTAGGTCAATTTTGCACACAATGGATCCTTTACTTTAAAAATTCCTTATTTCTAAAAGTAGTGAAATCTGTAAAACTGACAGAACAGTGCATGTTTAAATTCATTTCCTAAAAGAGCTTTGATACGCTAAATGGAGTGTAACAGTTTATATAAAGTAGGTTTTTGTTGGGAGGAGTGAGTTTTGAGCTGCTTCTAGAAATAGCAACTGGAAGTTATTTAAAGCATTCTTGCATGTATTTTTTTTTTTTTCAGCTCTAGGTATGTAGAAACATTTGTACAATAATTCTTTTTTATTTTATAGGGTTGATCCGTATGGGTTTGAAAGGCCAGACGACTTTGATTATGCATCCTATGAAGCATTCTTTTCCAGATATCTAGTGGTACTCACTAGAAGAGCAATAAAATGGTCCAAGCTCCTAAAGGGAAATAACAGTGTACAGAAGAGTTTAAAAGGTGAGCTGTATGTCTATTTATAAGTAAAAGTGAATTATGTTGGAACCAACAGAAATTGTATCAAATTTGTTTGCATTTTTGAATGTTAAATACTATTTTTGTCTTCAAATGAAAAACAGTAGTATAAACAGTAATAATACATAAGCAAGTATGCTGTTGTTAGGGAGATCATTGATTTGATTTAAAGCTTGCAAAGGAGTAATCCTTCTTTGTCATACACTATAATATCTTATTACATCTGTAACCCAGGGATTATGGCCACTGGCTCTTCAAGATGCTGTTTTACAGCTGTTTGTTGTATTGTACTCTGCTCTGTGCTCTTTAAAAAGCCATGAGATTATGTAGAAGACATTGTCTTGAACCCCAGGGATCAGGATGTTAGGACTCTCAGTTGCTGACTCTTTGACCGTTTTTTAGCTCTCCTTATCCTCCTTCTGTAAAATGACATTCACCTCACAGCTAAAAAGGTGTGTAGTAAGAACTGATGCTAAATGCCTTATGAAGTGAAGAAAGTAAAATTAATTCAGGAGCTAATGCAACATTAGATTAAATGCTGATGAAACTGTTAATAGCTGCTTCAGAAAGCAAGAAAACCTCTAGTAATATTTTATCTTGCAAGAGAGACAGGGAGAAATAAATGGAGGAAGTCAGAAGGTGGCAGGGAATCTTCTGAGACTAAAGGGTGAATTTTTTTCCTCCTGCTCTTTCTTAGGGTTATTTCATATAAGCATCTAAATTTTCCTTTCTGCTTTTAATGATGCTCTTCAGCTTGCTTTCTCTTGGGAGTCTCTTGGAATTGGGCACAGTTCTCTAAGTGTGTTAAAGAAAAAGTGAATAAAACTAAGCAAAAGTTCATCAGGCACTGACTATGACATAGCTGAATATTTAAAGCTGCGCTTCAGGTGCAGACTCTGCTAATTCTGGTGGTTTTGTTTTGGCGTGGGTTTTTGTCACCCCAAGAATGGGGTGATAAATAGTGAGACATTTTAAGTATAATACTGTATTTAGTGTACAGATAGCCATTTTAAGGCTGGGGAATCCTAGAAAACAGATTTGAGCTGCTAGATCATATGCTGCTAACTAGCAAGTAGCTGCTTTTACTCTCTTCTTTTTATTCCATATGTAAAGAAGCTTTTGTTTAGGGTGTCAAGTTTGAATACAGTGATAGTTGTGCAGTATTTTGAATTAGTGGGGATTTTGAGATTCTGTGGAACTTAGTCTTCTAGTTGTTTTGGAAAAATAATCTCAGGTTTTGATTCATCTCCTTTCAAAATGCGCAAACTGTGACAGTGGCAGCTTTTACCAATTTGTGCGAGTTCTTACATTTCTCTTCCCTTGTGTGGCCTGTTCCAGCATCGTAGACACAATGCTGCTGTGATACAGTGTGAATGCCTTTGGTCTTATTTTGGAGCCAAAACTTTGACCAAATCTCTCAACTTGTCTGCCAGGCTTCAGTACCAACGGCATGCTGCACCACTAAGCGTGTAGTGGCAATAACGATTAATGTGGTTTTAATCGTCTCTAGTAGGCTACTGTTTGTGAAAAATGGGATACCATAATTCCACTGAGTCGACACAAGCAATGGCTCTTGACTATTGCAAGCCCTTGTGGGCTAGTGCACCATCATTGCCGTTACTAACTTTTGCTAAAGATACTTGAATTTGTAGACGGTGCATTCTCATGTATATATGTAATACGTAATTCTAAGGAAAGTAAGTGGGAATAAATAATGTTGAGGAAATGTAGTCCGAGTGCAAATTCAAAGTTGTTACAATAAGCCTCCCTCATTATCATCAGCTGATACCTCAGGAGAGGAGAGCAACAAGTTAACCTGTACAATTACTGATTTTTAAGTACCTGCCTTCTTATATCAGTATTAAGATTGAAGTCTGTGGCATAAGCACCTAGAATTATGTAAGCAGTTGTTTAGGTGTGTGCTTTATCCTGTGAGATCATCCTGCAGTGATTTACTTGGAGGCAGTCAGAGAGCAGAAGGTCTGCCTGGTGATATGCTGAATTTCACTCCTTCAGGACCTGACTTCATTGCTCTGAAGCTTTGCTCAGGAGCTGCTGGTTCTGATTAACGTCCCTTCTGCTGCAAGTTGGCCGTAAGCTAGAACTGAAAAGAATATTTGATTTGCTGCTTTCCCCCTGAACGCAATAGCTGTATCTGTGAACCCACGTCCTTATTTTGAGTTCTACTGGGGCCTTTTCAAAATGCATCCTGCTGTGAGTAGATGTGAGAGAGGCATTTTGCATGTGGTATCTCAGTAGCTCCACGCCCATTTGTCTGTACACATAGAGAAGCTCATAATTCCTGTCTGGGTGAACAGGAAGAAGTGATGCCTTCTGTTAATTTTCCAGTTTGGAAATGTGGCATGTTCGCATGCTGCTATGTTTGCCTCACATCCAGGGTGGTATGTATGCGTATAATTCTGTTCTACTGTAAAGAAAAATAATTAGACTACATTTTAACAATGGTAATTAAGCAGTACATCCTGTTGTTCTTGATTACAGCCTTCCAGTAGGGCAGGTCATGGCAATTTTGGCTGACGGTTCCTTTTGCTTGTTTTCCAGTCTCTTCCTTTTTGTTATTTTGTGGTATTTTGTATCCCCCTCTACCTTTGTCTTCACTGTCTCCTCTGCACATGTGAATTTTCAGACAGCGTCCAGATATTTGCCTCTTCTCTCTCTCTGATGCTACTGAGATTCTCTTAATTTTTACTTTTCTTCATTCAGCTGCTATCTTTATGGGACCAAAAGACAGCTTTCTGCTCTAGCTTGTTTACAGGCGGGCAACAAACTGACATAATTACCCGAAGTAGCTTAATTCTAATCAAAAGTGTGCTGCATAAAAGAATTTGGCTGTAAGTGGATTAGTCAAAACTAACCAGTAGCAGAAGGTGCTTTATGGTCTTTGAGGCTGATAAAATACAGTGAAAGGCGAAAGTAATGGTACTAAACAGTGTTTATAATAGGAGCGCTTCTGTTTCAGCCCAGGGGTTGGAGAACGTAGGAGCATCTTAAAAAGTCAGGTTTTGTGCTTGACTGTAACTCGAACATTTACAGCACAGATCTGCTTTGTTTCTTCTGTGATGCAGTCATAAAGTAAAACTTCCATTTCCTTGTTGTATGCTCTTTTCACCTATTTTATAGAATTTTTCCTCTAGGATCCAAGTTAGTTTCCTCAACATTCAACAGTAATTGTTAGTAACTAAACCAAAAAGTGCAGACACTTTTCAAAATCTCACACTTCTAATGTTTTATATGAGATAAAACCCTATTTAAAAACAAAAATTCCTACATATACTTAGTTCATCTGTGGTGTAGAGTGAAACATTAATAGGAGGAAAACATAAATACAACTTCACCTAGAGGCAAAACCCTCCAAAAATACTCATATGCTACCATTAAACAAGGACAGACAGGTTTAAAGTGATTTACTTACTTTTAAATCTTCTTAATATAAGTAGTGCCCAATATTGGGAAATGTTATTTTCTGCATATTTTTCAGCACTTCTAGACTACTTCCCTATCATGTAGCTGCTTTTTCTGGTAACAAGAAAAACATTAAAAAGCGTGACTCTAATCCTCTGTAAATTGGCACTGGATATCAGAGGTAATAGAATTACTGAGGCTATTTTTGTTTGCTTAAAAAGAATTGGTGATGTTTCATATTTCATTAATGAAGAGGCAAAAATTGTACATGAAGATATTTATTACACATTTTAAAGCTTAGAGTGTTGTGTATGCTGCCGTTCTCCTGGGGGTGATTCTGAGTGAAGATACTCAAGGCTTGATGGTATTCAGCAGTGCTGCTTTTGAGATCAAGCCCTTGGTTTACAGTTGGAGTCGAATGTGTGATTGGAGACACATGCACAATCCATCTTCATCTGTGAAAGCATCTTAAATGTTACAGTGGGAGGATATTCTGCGGTGTGGACTGTTTTTGTGGGCTTTTTAAAAGTTCCTGAGGATAATGTGGAAAAGGACCTGTAGAACACAAAATAAATACATATTTGTATAAACCAATATCATTTTATGTATATAATGTGACATATATATGTGTGTGTATATATATATATAAAAAGCATATTTAATTGCAACTGTCCTTGTTTTCAAAACTACTTTCCTGCTTCTGTATGCTAGTTTGCAGGTACTGGCAAGTATGATAATGGTGTGAAGAAGAAAAACACCATGTAAAGGCCTTTTCCATTCCTCAGGGAGTGGGGGAGCTGGGGTAGGTAGTCACTTGGGGTGATCCAAGCCTCTGGCTGTCTATTACAATGAGAACAATGACACTGAGGAATAATGACTGCAGGGCCACTTCCCCCTTGTGCCAATGTCAAAGGCTTGTCCCTGCTTCTCTTGAACGTAATGTGTATTTTTGGATGTCGATGTCGGCTATGCTTTCAGAATTCACAGTTGTTCCAGAAAACAATACCATTGGAATTATAGGTTAGAATATGATAATCTAGTAATTTAACCAGCAAATACACTTGTAGAGACTTTCCGGGCTTATCTGAATGCCTCTTGTTGACCTAAATGGGACTGGTTCATCATACTCATTCCTGCATTTGCTATGTCCATCTCTAGGATTTCTTGAGCATTAGAGTTCAAAATCTTGTAAAGAAGAAGCGGACATTATTAAACAATCATGGAAACAAGTAAATTATTTCTAACCTGTCTAAAAGATGGTTGTAGTTAAAGTTATTTACATCTAAACAGTAGAGAATGTAACCCATAGTATAAATCCTCATCGAAAAGCTAAACAAAAACTGTACCCAAAAGTCCAGGTATTTATTGCAAATGTGAAGGGTAGGAGTGTTTCTTTGAGAGAAAGTACCAGACTTTAGGTGGGTGAAATACCTATTAGAGATGCAGGTATCTCTCTGTTGACATTGGGAAAGTAGCTTTGGCTCCTAAAGGATAGGCAGCTGCAATTAGGTGGAATGTATTTAGAAGTTGGCTGAGTTGTAAAACCTTGTTTCACTCTGCTGTTTTTCAGGCCTTTAATTCAGGCAGCATTTATCTTGAGTTACAGATCTCTGTGATTGGATAAAACCAGATTAGTTAATGATATTTTGTGTGTGTCTGTGTGGGTGGAATAAAAATCCCCACTCTCATTTGAGCCCTATAGAATTTAGGGATGAGAAGTTGATACTCTAATTGATACAGTCTCATTCATTTAGTAAGAAATACCTGATTCCTTTCTTAGTTTCTTCTCCCTGGAAAAAGCAGAAGGATCTCAAACATTCAGCTGTCTTTTTGGATCAGAAGGGGTAATGCTGATTTAGGATTCTGTACCAGTGAGCAGCATTGGCTCCTTATTAATATTTTTCATACCATTCCCAGGAGGAAGCTGCTTTGGCTGTCATTAGCCTAATGCTTCTTCCTGCAATCTTGCATCCTAGTTATTTACACTGAATCATCTGCTTAAAAAAAACCCCAGAGCACACCCTGGTGATAAATATGATGCAAGAGATAAGAGCTATTTTAGTTTTGAGAAGACTTCCCCAGTTATGCTAGGAAAAATCATCTGCTGCTCACTCATGTCTCCAGTTCTTCCAGAGACTCATTTAGACAGTAGCCACGTACTTCTCAGTTTCTGCGAGGATTTCAGTGGTTTGGTGCTAAGCTTAAATCCTAGGGTTATGTTAACATAGCCATTTATGCTAGAGCATAACTAAGGAAATGGAAAGGGCTATCATGTCAGAGGCTACTAGTAATGTAGGGGAAGAAAAAGTCAGTGTTTTTCTGAATGAAAAAGGACAAAGATCAAGGGGAAACTTTGCTGTTCGTATCTCTATCTGGAAAGGTGGGAAGACGAGGAAAGGATTCAAAATCCCAATGCGGGAAATAGAGAAGATAGGAAAGCCTGAGCCTGGAGATCTGTGTGGGGAGTCTGAGTGGCAAGAATTTACCAGCGAATCTCAAATATACTATGTAGCTGAGAAGGAAATGCTTATCCTAAATGGTAGCATAGGAGAGAAAGCATAGTAGTTTCTAGTCAAGAGCCTATGACTTCTCAACTTTCTGTTGCTGGTTTCCAAAAGAAAAATACAGCTGGATTCTATTTTTTCTTTTTTTTTTAAAAAACCACCAAACTTCTTATTTTGCAGTGAAGAGATATATCAGGAAAGGCATCCCCAATGAACACCGTGCATTGATCTGGATGATTGTGAGTGGAGCCCAAACCAACATGGAACAAAACCCTGGATATTACCACAGACTGCTTGAAGAAGAGAAGAATGACAAGCTGGTTGAAGCAATCAAAACAGGTTATTGTCTTGATAACACTGATTATCTGTCTTAGGTCCTTAACTGTTAGAGATCAAGTTATGTCATGGAAAACTTTCGTTTCCGTAGTAGTGGTTTAAGTGCTGAATTAACATGTAAATTAGATTAACCATAAGCTCTTAACACCACAGGTCTTTCCAGATTCATCACGTGGTCAAAAGCATTAAGGAAGATTAGAAATTATTTAGGAAGGAACAGAGAACAAACCAGAAGACAGTATTTTGTCGTCTTCTAAGTGAATGATGAGTTAACTCCATACCACGAGACCTGCCTTTGGGTCTGTTTCTCCTTACTTCTGTCCCAATAGGGCACTAGAAGAGCAACAGTGATGGTTGAAGATGTGGTACAATGTCTGTATGAGGCAGATGAAGTATGCTAGGATTTCAGCTGGAGGAAAAAGCTCCTGATAGAATTATTTGAATTATAAATGGTGTAGAGAGGGTGAATGGGGAGCAATTGTTATGTTTCTTGTAACAATAAGAACTAAGGTCACTGAAATAAATTTGCCATGCTGCAGGTTTAGAAGAGCACATCACGAAATTGTGGTGCTTATTACGATGGGGTGCTGCTGAGGCCAAAAAGTATGAACTGGTTTAAAAAGGAATTTGACAAACTGGTGGGTGGGGAAATCCACTTGATACATGAAATCCTAATCACTAAATGTGAATCCCTGAAAGAATGTAAGCACAGGCGGAGAAATACCTCTCCTCTCCTAATCCAGTTTCATATGCTTTGTCTGTGAACATTGATCGGTGGCCATTATTGGTGACAGGGTATTAGGGCAACCAGACTTTTGTCTGGCCCACTGCAAGTTTAAAAGAGGCAATAGGGGAGGAAAAGCAAGTAGAATTTTGATGTAACTGATACATGCCCTGAAACTTTTCATCCTGCTGCAGCGGAGCTTTTGTAGAGAATCCAGTGCTGGCTGAATTGCCTAATTAATGAGTCAAGAGGTTGGGCTGTGCTCTGGACAAGCACAATGCTGAGGTGGTTTTGTTAAGATGGCAGGTGCAGTCATCATCTTTTTTCTCTTGAAAAAGACAGGTAGTTCAAGTTGGGGCTTTATGGATTTTTATTTGAGTTGCATAAACATCTGAACAGTTTTTGGTTTATGCTGAGTTTCCCCTTTGCCTCTCCCCTCCAACAACAGCAGCAGCACTATGGGCTTTTGGGACCACACGCCTTAGTAAGGCATTTGGAGCATAAACTTTCATGTTCCTATGAATATGAAGACCAGCCAGAAATTTTTAGGCTGATATCCTGCTCAGAACTAGAAACAGTAGGGCTCTAACTATGAGCACAGAGGGATCTACGAAGATGACTTTCCAAAGTCATTCTTGGTAAGAGTCTGGAGAGGGATCAAACTACTCAGCTCGGGTACAATTGCTGCAGGAGGGAGTTGCAAACAATTTTTTTTCCAGTACTAGACAATGACATGGGTCATAACATGACAGTAGGTGGCTTTTCACACAGGTTATACCATGAAATAAAAATATTTCTGTGGGGAAGAAAAAAAAAAAGGAAGAAGATAAAGATCTATTAATGAATTATGGAGGAAATACAGTTTTGAAAGAGCTACTGCATCGATAGGAAAACTGCAGAAGAGAAAACTAACAAGGAGCAAGTGAGGGAAGGGGTAAAGAAAAATGGGTTGGAGGGTGTTATTGGAGGAAAAAAATAAAAAGAGGACCTCAGACTCCAGAGTGATAGATTTCACTTCAGAAGGGAAGAAACAATGTGAATATATGAGGGGTAGAAGGAGTGAAATACTTAAGGTGAATGAAAACTTTGTGTTTAATAAACTTTGTGCTCCTATTGACTGTGCAAATTTTATAATTGGCTTTAGCTGAGGACTGTTTCAGTGTGAATTGTTGTCTTACATTCATTTTGTTTCTGCCGGTGTTGTTTTCCCATCACTGCAGTTGTTTTTAACAGTAAACTAAAGTAAGATGTGGAATCTTGCTGCCATTCACTTTTCATGTCTGCAGTTTCCAAAATTTTCAGGCAGTTGTGCTGTGTTTACTCCTGTGGTCTAGCTGTAAAGTTATAGCCCAGGATGATGCAGTGGTAAAAGAACAGCAACCATGCTTGCTTTTTTTTCAGGGGGAGGGGCAAAAGGACAAGGCCAACCAAAGGCTTCATTTCAAATTCAATTTAAAACATGTGTAAGAGCTAATGTGTCCTGATTCTTTTACATGCTCAGAAGTTCCAAACAATTTTCATGTATGTTTGGAACTTATTTTCAATATGGGAATGTCTTTAAGGGGATATAATCAGGTTAAATAGTGCAGGTAGAGAAATCTTTAAAGAAAAATCTGATTAGTAATAGCAATAGAAGTCTTTCAGCTAAATAATTCTAAACTGTCCTTTCACTGTTTTTGCCCTTTAATTTGCTGATTCTTAACTCATGACAGGCTTTATTGCTGATGTTTTATAAAACACTTGCTGTTTAGACATACCTTACGTTTCTCTTTTTAAAAAAAAAAAAAAAAAGGGAAGACTTCTTGCTCTACCCGTTAAAGTAAGAGCTTAAAGAATGCAGGTCTCTAAATTTTGGTGGAAAACTTCATGGTTTAGTTTACATACACATTTAGAAGGGCATGCATTCCTACTGAGCTTTGTTGTTCATGCCCTATTATAGTAAAGTTTAGTAGGGCAAATGATGTTGGCAGGATAAAATGTGGCTGTCCTCCTAATGCAAAGGTTATGTGCTGGTTACAAAAAGGCTGGGATGTAAGTTGACATAGCTTCCTTGCAGTAAGCCCCTCTTAGGGTGGGCCACTGAATTTCAGAGTAAGTATGTCTGTGTCTGCAAGTCCCCTTGTGTGCACATGTAGCTAATATCCGCATTTCCACGTTTCATGACAAAGAGTTGTAGGTGCTGTGAAACCTGGGGTCTGATATTTAGCAGTCAGTCCCCTAGGCCTGTGCTGCACCTTGTGACTGCTGGCATAAGGATCTGGCGGTGTGGATTGGATGGTAGTTGTAAGATCTTAGTTTACTTTATGATGGGTTCAGAAAAGTAATTCACACAATAGCCAGTGCCACTTCACTGGAGACAGTGAATGTTTTACTGTCAAAGCACTAATAAGTTTCTCTGAATGGTGTTAAACTATTAGTGAAGGTTGGGAATTTTCACGTGAGTTTAGGGTATTTAACTGTGTAAGAGCAAGGGGAACAGCAGTGCCAGCTCTTCTGGCTCTCTGTAAGAGAAGCTGTATCAGGTCATATCCAAATGGCTTCCTCATCTGCTCCTCTGTCTACCAGAACAGCTCAAGGAAGAACTGGAGGAGTAAAGTATGTGGTGATACTTCCTCAGAATGTCTTTCCTGGTCTCCAGTTATCTGTGGTTTGGGGAGTTCCTGAGTCATGTGCTCCGTGTTTGTAATTGGTAACACTGGATGGGGAAAAAAAAATCACAAAAAAAATCCTGGTTGCTCCTTTTTTTATGTCCTTCACCTTGCTCATGAGTTCGCAGATTTGTGCTGTTTTGCTCATAAGCATCTCCCTCCAAATTAAGGAGCTGTAAACCACCTTGGTTTATGCTATGTATGGTAGTTGTTTCATACCTGCGATCTTCCTTGTTTCCATTCTCTTCTGCAGTTTCTCCAGTTCTGATATCAATTCTTGGAGATGAAGGGGACTGGAATTTATGTGGGTGCTTCTCAGATTTATATGGTGGCATTATTGTTCTTTTGTAGGAAATCCTAACCCTGTTTGCTTTCTTGATGGCTGCAAGCTATTAAACCGTTACTTGGTGCTGGTGGTAGTGGGTGTCAGGCTTGGTTTCTCTAGTTTTGGTTGATAGAAAACTTGACCTCAACTTAAAAAAAAACAAACAAAATCCCCAAACCTCCAAAACAAGTTCTAGTTCCAGGTGTTGGCAGGGAAAAGCTTGAAAATGAGTCCTAAATTTTCAGTTATAACAAATTTTAAATACCCTTTAAGTGTATTACTTTTACAAGTTGTAGCTGATGACCTAACCTCATTATTCTGGAGGTTTGCAGTGGAGTTTTTGAATACTTGCAGTTGGCAGCTGAGGTGAATTTTTGTTCTGTTCTTTGCTAAGTTTAAAAAAAAAAAAAAAATTACCTGCCTGGAAGCTATTTGGAGCAGATGGAAGTTAGTTGTAGCAGTAGCAAAGAAGTGACTGAAAGTGGAGTAGAGGATGTTAGTTATAAAAATACTTGTGCACTTTACTGGGTACTGCGTCTGGGAGTGGGCAGCACCTGGATATGACGGTTAAAACTGAAAGGACGGGATAGCAAGGTGTTCTTAGGTGTCTTGACTTTGGAAGGACCCTAAATATGAAAAGCACAAGACTGGTACAAAAGCATTAGTTTTCTGGACTGCACATTTAAATCTCTTTGCTCCAAAAGAGCATCAACAATTGTGATTCCGGGTACCAAAATAGATGTCTGTTTTATAAACTGAGGCTAATGTGGCTTTCTGTCTATGTTTGTGTTAATGAATGAAAGGTAGAAATGCTGCAGAAAAAAGCCAATGGTCTTCTCATGGTTGCTGCACAGAGATAAAGCAACAGAAAAGGAAAGCTGCTGTTTCTGTTTCACAGCGAGATACCGCTATCACCTCACAGCACTGAAAGATAATCTAAAAAAACCTACACACTATTGGGATTTAATCTTAATTTACTGCAAAGGAGTAGCTAGTCTTTTCTTTGCGGCCTTCTTTGTGGTCCCATACTCCTATACCTAGTTGGGTTATAGCCAGCAGATCTGCACACAACCACAAGATGGTAACTGTTTTGAGGTTTATCTGGCAATATAAAGTTCTAATATTCATTTCCCTGCTTGAAAACAACTGTGATGTTTTTTCCTCAGACTGGACTACTCTGAGGCTGTGTTCTTTTGGCTGCTAACGTCTATGGATAATGAAGTAGGGTAATGGATAGCAGGTCAGAGGGTGGGTTCTGTGGAGGGGGAGAAGGTGGTGTTCAGACATCTTGTTTGGAACAGGTGTAATAAGTGGGGGTAAGTGCTCAAGTCGCATGAACAGCTCTCATCTGCTCCTGCTGTTTGCCTTAAGTCATCTCTGGCAGTTGTCTTGTAGTATGGTAAAACATATGAGTTTGTATGCACTTGGGGAGTGGGTTTACCTCCCTCACCTTGCATTCAGAGGAGCCTCGGAGCTGGAGGAAGAGGGAGAGCAGGCAAAGGGAGCAGAAAGGAGAGGATGGAGAGGAAGCAGAGCTGCCTGCTTTTGGTGTGCTCAAGATAAGCCTGACATAAGGAGTCCTGTAAAAACATGCCCTGTGTCTTTTATAAAGGGTAAAGACTTCTAGGTTTTGTATCTTGTTTTTGTTCTATGCCCCCCTAAACTAAAAAACCGTTACTAAAGAGAAGTTTTAAATCCTTCATAAAATCAGGGAAGACTTCCCCCAATCCTTGGGGGGAAAAAAACATGCTCTGCACTCAGAGAGCAAATTGGAGCTGATTCTCTCAATTGCAGGCCTTCCTCATGTTCTGAAATTAGAGTTCAGTTTGAGTAGTCTCTGCTCTGTGTGTGATGGACTTTTCCTACTCCTCCCTGACGTTTATTCTAAATAGATCGGAAGAACCATAGCTGAAACAGCATTAATCTGTTCTCTAATATCCGGCATATACTTTAATAAACAACAGATTCTGATTATGGAAATACTATGCTGCTCTCCCTACCAAAAAGAAACAAAACAAATTTATTTACCCTATAACTGTCCGGCTGTTGCTCAAGTCCTCTTAAAAATTGTCTTTTTCCTTGCGTTTCTCTTTTCAGTCACATGAGAGGTGAAGTGAAATATTTTCCTGCCCTCCCATTTCTGTAAATGATTTGTTAACTTTTAAAAGGAAGAAATGGTGATTAGTGTGATAACTTTAATGCTTGTGACTTCCACGACACAAATGATTTTGAGAGGCTTTCTTCCTTTGGTTGCTTACAGTTCAACTTTGTGTCAAAGCTGTAACAGACTTCTTCCTTTATGCAGGAGAAACTGATAAGAAATGATAAGTCTTAGGACATAAGTAACTGTACAGTAGTGCTGTAACTGAATTTTATTTTTTTCTTTTTAATTTAACCCAATTTTTTTGTCGTTGTTAAATATAACCAAAACAACTGTTCGTATTTTATTAATAAAAGTCTTGGATTTTGAAAATCTTCAAAGTTACTTTTGAATAGGATTTTTCTCCCCAACTTAAACTTCTAAAAATCAGATGCACAAGTCTGGACTAGTGACCTTGGGTTCTCTCTTTATAGAGTGAAACAAGCCAAAAATTAACTCTGCTTGTTTCTACCCAACAACTAAAGGAGAATTTTGAGTGACTAGCTCAAACTTGCGTGTCTAATTTTTAGACCTTTGTAAGGAGAGATGAGTCCTACTATTCATGTTGGGCCTGGAAGAAATGAATGTTTTGAATTATCAGTAATTGCACAGTCCTTACTTGGTTTAGGATTGAGCTTGAAGCACGTGGGATGTGCTCTGCTGCTTGGATATCAGAAATAGCTCTCCTTGATGATCTTGCACCACTGAAGAAACAACTTTTCTCATGGTCACATCACGGAAAAAAATCTTTAAAAATACTGTGATTTTTAAGTGGAAGCCACCAGTTGCAGGAACAGGACTTTTTTTTTCCTAGCTGTTTGAGGCTGTCTGGTAGAAGTTCACTGAATAAGTCAGTTGAAGGCTCATCGGATTTGTTATGAGAATATGCTTTCCTAGAGGTGCAGCTCATTTCATGTCACTTCATTAGGTAAATTTGTTATGTGTTGTTTCTGTCAGTCTAAATGTCTGGTTTGCTTTTATTTAAGCCTTTGCAGTCAGAGGTTGAGAGAGTCCAGTCTGCAGGAGAATTTCTTTAGTCCTGCTTGAAATTGATTACTGTACAGTAATAGGATTAATCTTTCTAGGAATAGATTATCCTTGAATGCGGATGGCCTTTTAGCCAAAATGGAGGTAAAGCTCTTTCTTAAAATTCATCCACCAAAACTAGTTTTAGTGAGCCATATGAAGTTTCAGTTGTACTTCAGAAAATCGGTACCTCAAAAAACTGTTTGGAAAGTGAAGGAGGGAACAGCTCTTAATTTTGATCTTTTTTTCCCTTTTGTCTAGACATGAACAGAACATTTCCAGATAATGTAAAATTCCGCAAAACTGCTGATCCCTGTTTGCAGCATCCACTCTACAACGTATTGGTAGCGTATGGGCATCATAATAAAGCAGTAGGATATTGTCAGGTATGTAATTACTAGTTTTTAAGCAATGCTGAATTTCACCAATGGCAATTGTTCTTTTCCATTTGAATGTGTGTTTTTAAAAGCTGATCCACAAACTTTCTTTTTTTAAAATGGTGCTGGGGATGGAAAAAACAAATTGCTTCAGGCAAGTTCAAATGTCCTTGTGAGTTTCTCCATGGCCTTTTTTTTTTGTAGCTTACTCAATCATGTTTGATTCCATTTCTTAGCTGCAAAATAAATGTTTTATCACACATGGTTGTATCAAGATTAGTTGCTTTGGAGAAGAAGAGAAAGCAAGCTTGCCTTTCCCTCTTCCTCTTGCCATCTTTCCCAAAACAGTCCTCGGTATGTACTAGGCATATGGGATCTCAATTTCTTTTCACTGTCATGTTTTTCAAAATACAGAAAGACCAGTGTCTGTGCGACATAACATAGTTGAGGGGGTGGTAGCATTTGTTTGGTGCCATCTCCCAGTATAGACAGACAAGTAGGAAGAAAAATTGTTTGAAATTCAACCTGATGCTGCTTAAATGGCAGCTCAGAAAAGCTCCTGTGTCACTGCCAAGCACTGTAAAGTTTCCTGTGAGACATAAAGAAGATAAAAGTTGATTCATGACAGTCAAGAACAAAAAGTCCATCGTTAAGGATCATAAAGAAGCAGGAACTGTCATGAGCAATATGTGTTTGCAGTTCATTTATTAAGTCCTCTCCTCTCTCCTCCCTTTCCTCATCAAGGGTACGTGTGCTAATCTGTACTTCTTGTTAGTTGAGGACGTTAGTACAGTAAATACAACTGTTTCAAAGTTAAAAGAATATGAATTATATTTTTTGAAATCTGGACTTAGAGGGACTTAAACCTAGACTGATGTCACTAAAACAGATTATTTTTGTGCATCCCAACCTGTTTTATAGTACAGAAAATATTTGAAAAATGGGACTAAAAGATGAATTAACTTTATTATTTTCAGTATTATGTATTTATTAAAATAGAATTTTTAATATTTTGAGAGTAACAGAAGGGGTAGAATTATGAATATTCTCTTTTGCAAGTGTCAGGCTCCTATACAGAGGTAGTTATACCCACAAGCATGTACAACTCCTAAACCATGCTAGCTTCTGCCCAAAATGTATGTCTTATTGTTACTAAAAAGTTTTGGTACATTAACTGTTTAATCAGTGGGCTACTCTTTTTCATTTTAACTTGGCATTAAGAACACTAGAGATAAAAGAAGACTTAAAAAGCCTTATGTGATTCCTTTTCACCTTTGGTCTCTGCACAGAATGAATGTTGTCTATTCTGTCTAAATAATTAGAACATAAACCAAAGGGCAGCGTCTGCTTTCCAAGGCGTGTCATAAATTAAGCAATGTTTCAGGAAATCACCTTTTCTGCTAGGGAAACAGCGGACTTCATCAAGATAGATATAGTGATACCTATTCCATGATAGGAGAGACCTTGTAACCACTAGAAAATTCAGAGTGAAAAATGGATTTAAAGTGCTTTGCAGAGGTTTTACTGACTGAAGGCTCTTCAGGGAATGTTTCCATAATGCTGGTGCATTTGTGGTATTTACTGGCATTTAAGTCTCCTATCTGGGAGAGTATTAGGCTTTGCATTGTCATGCACCAGTGGTACAGCATTGCCTACCCTGGTGTGACCAGGGAAATTCAGTGTCCTGTGAGCATATGCTCCAGAGTAGCTTTTTGTGCATGCCATGTTAAATGCCAACAGTCTCTTGTCACCACAGATGCAGTTACTAAGCTAACTGTCAGCATGGAAACAAATAGTTGCCTTGCTGACTAGAAGGCCAAGCACCGTGTAAGGCCATGCAAGGTCTATTCAAGCCATTTGTATAACAACTGCTGTAGTGACTCAAAGCTCGAAAATGAAACATTGGAGAAGATGAAATGTCCTAATATTTCCATGTTCTGGGAGTGTTGCAAGGCCTTCTGAGATGGGACAGGTGAGTCAAATCTGTTGAATGCAAGAAATGAGATCTCGGTTCAGAGAGGAAGTTGTAGCTTCCAGAGGCTGTGAGGGATGTTGGTTTTGGTAGCTGTCCTCTGGCTTGCAGCCATAACTGGCAGCACTGCAGGATACCCAGAGACAGTGATGCTGCCTGTAGTGATAGACATGCTGGAGAAGTCCAGCTCAGAGGCAGAGCAAGCAGGTAAAAGGACAAAGAAAGGGATGAAACCTAAGAAGCCAATGTAACCAACACCAGCCTTCATAGCCTGTAAATATTTAAAGATAATTTCCTGTTAGCTTAGGAAGACTTTGGGGGGGCTTGCACCTCAGAGGCAGCTCTTGTGTATTGTCATACTGGTGTGCTGTCTATGTTATTACAGTTGTCAGCTGTTTATGATGGAAGAGACATACTTGAAAAATGGTTAAGATAGCGGACTACTGTGCATGTAAATGGGTAATATTGCGATAACTTAGCAGTGTTATGCTGGATACAAGAAAAAAGTGCCTGAGACAGAGGCAATGTGTTTACAGGGAATAGCAGTTTGTGACCTGTGTGTTCTACATGTTACTTGTCCAGTCAGAGAGTGTCAGTAATGAAAATTGTACAGTTGGCCAGTCATGACTTGACTACTTTTCACAAAATTTCTGGTAGTTCTTCCAATCTCACAGGTGTTTACCTTCCATTTGCATGTTGAAAGGCAGGAGCTATAGCAGCCAGTCATTGACTAGCATGTGGAATACTAGAGGTATTATGGAAGCAAATAACTTATATGCAGTTATTTGAGTTAAGTAGCAACAGCTTGTAAAAGCTGCCGGAGCTGGAACTTTTTACTAAAGTGTGTTTGGGTCAGGCATTCTACTTTGTGTTGTGTTTGTACTGCACACCTAAGACAACTGTGTTTTGGTTCTGGTCAAAGCAGTCTTCAGTTACGTTGGGACAGGGCTTTGGGATCTGAAAAAAGAAAAAAGAAAAAATTGAAGGTAAATTATAGACTACTAAGCTTTATCTTCTAATTTTCCTCTCCTTGATCTTTGTTAGTAATTCTTGTTAGCTGTCATAATGCAGGTTTAACAGCTTATTCAACTGGTGGCCTTTATTACTAGTTTTTACTTAATATATCCACTTTGTAGAACTGGAGCGATTTAGCCCTTAATTAAAAGAAATAAACTCTTATGATAAGTGTATGCATCTTAAAACCATTTTTTCTATTTCAGGGCATGAACTTCATAGCTGGATATCTGATTCTTATTACAAAGAATGAAGAGGAGTCCTTTTGGTTGCTAGATGCTCTTATTGGAAGAATATTGCCTGGTATGCTGAAAACACACACAGTTGTATATTGGAGCTTCACTTTTATTTTATCTTTGGTTTCTTCTCCATTTTTAGAGGTTTTAGATTTTAAAATGGACTTGCATGGACTGAAGATTTTCTAGGGTCTATATCAGTATGATGCCGGGGAACAGGACTTAGCGAAGGTGTCTGGGATTTGGCAGTACTGGCTACAGGACACGGATGAAGCAGTGATTGCAGAGCAGGGTGAAGAAGGGAGATGGGCATAGCTTGAGCATTGAGCTTAAAGTATGAATTCCCATGCCTTGGCAAGAGGCAGCATGAGCTTTCTTCAGAGGTATTTGGCAAGGTGGTGATAGTTTCTGCTAGGGACGGTAGTTTCTGCTGTCCCCTGCTTCTGAGCAGGGATACCTTGGGCACTTTACGCATCTTGATTTTGCAACAAAGCAAACAAATGCCAAAATCCCTGTTTGTGTCTGTATGGGGATTTCTTGTCAAAGCTCTGTTATAATCAATGGTGATCTAGCCAGGCTGGTCAAAAGAATCTAGAAGGAAATTCAGCACACCCTAAGACAGAGACAATATCTACATCTGGTCAATTCAGTGGCTGTCTAGGTTCCCTTGCCTGGATCTTTGGGTTTGCAGGATGTGTTTACACAATTAATGTAGCCCCATATATAAACTGAATTCTGCCACGTGTGTGAAGTAGTTTAAAACCAGAAGCAGAAATTGGGCACAAGTATGTTTTGTACTCCTATGAAATACATTTAGGAATGTTCTTTCTTGGGATTTAATTATAGAGGAAAAATGGTTTCATTGTGAATTCCCATTAGCATTGCACAGGACTGACTACAGCTACACCCTTAATGTAAATCCATACTCAAAATGGAAGACTAATTTTTCTATAAGGAGGCTTTGAAATTCCCTGTTGGCCCAGTTTTGTTTTCAAACAGATCTTTATCCCGAATGGTTGGAGGCTGAATTGAGTATTACAGTGTCAACTAAGTGCTGGTCGAGGATGTCAAAGCTGATGCTTTCATTTCTGTTTCGTTTTTTTATTTGTTTGTTTAATCTTAAACAGGAACAGAAAAGTATATAATTTTGGTTCCTTATTGAACAACGGGGGAAGACTTTGAGAAAGAAGGAAAAAGGCTGAGAGAGTCTTTTAATGCTTTTGAACGACTGTAAGAAATTACCTTTTACGCTGAATACAACGTGTAGGAACTCAGGTTTTCCTTGCATATGAGCAAAGTGCTTGGACTTTGCAGGTTGAAAGAGCGGGGAGCCCTGTGACTTGTTGAATCAATCTGCAAATATTTGAGGTTTTGCAGCCTTGAAGTTTACTTTCAAGCTATAAAAATAGTCTAAAGAAATCAACTGTCTGTTGCTTTTGTTCAGCCTTAAGAGCTATAAGCTGTGCAAACAGGTAGGAGACTTGAGGGCTGCTGTCTGCCACGTGACCTGCCACTGGCTGACATGGGTGGGTGTTTTTCCATTGACATCACAGTGTTGAGGGATAAGACCTGCAGTACAAGGCAAGCTTCATTGCAAAGTGATGTGTGGCAACTTTTGCTGTTAATGTTTTTGATAGTCTTATATGTTTTTATTTAGGGCAAGGAAATAGCTTCAGAATTATTTATTCATTGGTTTTGGTATGGAACTTTAGTTTGTCATAAAACCTTTAGTTCTTCTTGGATGTCCTTCTGTACTTTGATACCTAAATGACTGAAGTTACTCTCATTTTCCCTTCTTAGTAGTTGAATTTATCTTACGCCAGTAATATTGGTGATGAGAAGAAACTCCTAATGTAAAAGGTCAGTTACTGTGTATAAAGGAGATGTACATTTACTTAAGTTATATTTACAGATATATTTTTACTACCCTGTAACAAGAGTCTTGTTACAGACTTTGGCCTGGGTTCAGCACGCATCCACTACAGGCATAACATCTGAGGTGCTGAAGCTAGAAACGTGTGCTTACGTTTCTTTGCTCATCATTGGGGAAGGGGATATCTGATCAGAATGGCTGATCTGAGTGAGCCCCTTTCCCCTCTATGTTCAGTTTTAAGAAAGCTTGAGGTGCCTCTTCCAGCTTGGGTGCTTCAACAAGAGCCCAAGTTAAGTAGTATGAATCTTTTATGTAGTAAAAATATTGAGTTGTGCAAGGCTTTATAGTCAGAAAACTTGCTGATGTTTTTTCCCCAAATAATAATGGCATAATTTCAGTGAAATGTTGTGTGCATATATGTGAGAGAGATAATCAGACAAGCAGACTGTATCCGTAAAGAAACTTGCTCAGGTAAGTAAGTACTGCCCTTCTGTTAACAGTGCAAGGTACAGTACATTTCAGTTTAAAGCCCTATAATTATTTGTTAGGGAAGCAGAGAAACATTGCATATTCTCCAGATCTTCAGAGGGAAAAGTAGCAATCATTTTTTGTTAGATGCCAACAGCTTGATTAGCCAACATTTTTCCTTTCATTTTGTTGCTGATGCCCTTTTCTTGATCTGTTTGCATTATAATCTACATGTTTTCCCCTTTCATCGCAACAGATATGCCTCCAGGTCATGTCCTCATTTTCGAGTCTGTCCTGTCACTGCCAGTTAAATTGGTGGTAATTTAGGACAATTTAGAAATCCCTTCTCTGCCCTCTGCAGTGTCCCTGTGAATGTTTCATTCCCCCTGCCCACAGGCATTTAATTACATTAAATAGCCGCTCCAGTACTTTGATGCTGACAGCATTTTTTTTTTTTGGTCAACAGATGAACTGAGCCAGCCACAGATCAATGTCATTGATTGAAAAATGTAGAATGTGACAGATTGGGAGCATTAGTGGCAGCTTTCTGGGGAAGTGACAGAGAAGGGCTGCCTAAGCTATGGCTCACCTCCCCACTTCTACTGCTTTTTAGGCCTGGGTGGACATATGTACTATAGGATATGATGAAGGTGTGACTGCTCCACCCACTGACAGGAGGGTACAGCTTGGGAATGGGACCCCATCACTAGATATTTTCTGGCTGAATTGTTCTGTTACCCTCAAATGGAGTTAGCACAGCTGGAAGAGAGAGCCAGCAAATATAACTCTTTGGTTTGTTGGTATGTGGAGTTATGTGCATGCTGTTCATCTGGCTGAACGTAGCACTGCTGGGTGAGGCCAGAAAGATCCTGCTTCTGCTGAAGGCAAGCCCGTAGTCTACTGCCTGTTGTGTCTGTCAGCTGCTCAGCCAGGGATCTGGAGGGATTAGGAACATATCATTCAAACACAGCAAGGGGGAAGAAAATTATTTGTTTAACTGAAGTTTTGGGTGTTACCAAGATCTTTTATTTCCAGGTTCATTCAAAACAGATGGCTGGAGCAGACAGTATTGCCCACAAGAAGCAGTATGGATTCGATTTGAGCTCAGAGTGGGTGTGTCTGCAATTCTATTCAGTGTAGCTCTAGTGTTGCTGTTCTGTCCATAGCTCTGGTTCTTGTTGAGAATTTTTTTTTTCGTTCTATTGTGGAAATATTGGGGAGGTTGCTTTAGAAAGCATCAGGTAGGTAGGAACTTTTAACTCTGGTACTTTGATATGTAATTTAAGGAGCATATTTGTCGTGTTTTATATATTTATGATTAAATGGTGAGTTTAAGAGGAGAAAAACTTGACAATTTGAACTCACATAAGCAGAACTTTCATGCTAAAATATAGCAGAACAATTACTTTTTTTTTCCTCCAGTGGTTCTCAGTCTGAAAGCAGTAGTGTTTATGAAGGGATACTCTAATAAGTCTACTAGACTATTATACTGGAGTTATTTACTCTTACTGAAAACCAGTTGTAGAATGAGTCCTCCAATGGTTAAGAAAGGTCTTGTGATTTCTGCACTAACCTGTTCATGGACAGTTTTATATCCTTTTATTCTTGTGCCAGTGCTGACTTTTGGGGGTAAAAAACGTCCTCATCTCTCCTGTGCACCTTTTGTGAATTTGTACCATACAGTCAATTCATTTCACAGTTCTTTTGAAGTACTAAACTGCTGCAGTTGAAGTCTTCTATTGCATGAAACTTTTCTCTGTTCCCGTTTTAGCCTAATAATTATTTTGTGTGCTTGTTCCAGTTCTAATTGATTTCTTTTTCTTTTTTTTTTAACATGAACACAATGGCATTTTTTTTTTTTTTTTTTTTAACATGAACACAATGGCCCCCTTTTTTTTTTTTTTTTCCAGTGGGAAATTTGCTAGTGCCTTGTGCAGTGGCGTTATTTTTTCTCTTTTCACAGCTGAAAGTGTTTTATTTGAAAGAGAAAAACTATAGGATCTCCCTTGCCCTTTTCTCCTTGTGGCACTCAGGTTTTGATTTGTGATCTCAGTAATAACGCATGTGCTATTGTGCCTCTCATTGTCAACAGATGTTTTTTTCTGCAGCTTTTAGGAATTCATAACACCTTTTTGCTTAACTTTATTTGCACGTTCTTGTCCTTGCTATTTTAAATATCATCATGTCTCTCACACCAATCTTTTCACTGTGCTACTCTGTTGTGCCTTGTATATTGACATGGGACAGTATTTCTCACTTTAGGGTTGTTAACAAATAGCAGCTTTTTCTTTTTCTCCAATGTTGTTAATAAAAACCTTACATTAGTGTAGCCTACAAACATTCTTCAAGGATCAGTCTACAAACCTTCCTTCAGCCTGGTACTTTCTAGCCTTTTCGTTTTTTAAAAATTTTTTTACCCATGTGTACTGACTGGTTGTTTATCAGTCATTAAAAATAAGAACAGAGTTTTGAATTATCAAATAGTCACAAAAGTGCCAGACTACACTGAACTAACTTGCATTATCTGCAACGACACAAGGTGCAATGCAAGATACCACTTTGGTTGGGTAGCGTAGCGAATGCCAGTTAAGGCAAATGTCTGTGTGTTGAGATAATAGATAATCTAATACGTTACTGTTTTGAGCTTTCTGTAGTTCTCAATTGTATCAGCCATGGATATTTGAACTGAACAATAACATAGTTACGTATCAAACACTTATGAATCA